TTTTTTTTTTTCCTTTCTTTTTAATCCCATTAGAATTCTTTGAAAATAACAAACAAATTTTAAAATATATGATATATATATTGTTGGGAGAAATATTATTGTTTTTATTTTTGCTTTAAACGATTGAAATATAACTATAATAATCAATTTGCATATAAATTCATTATTATAGTTTATGTTATATATTATAGTTTAATCATATCGTGTGAAAAAAATTTCCCAACGATAAATTCAAGCTTGATCCAAGTTCGTATTCATCCAATTACATAAAAAAAAAAAAATTGAAAGATGAATCGATCGATAAAGGAGGAATCCAGGAATTGTCTTTAATGAAAAAAAATGCTCGTGAGAAAAGCAAGGCAATGATGTGATAATAACCTAAACTCGACGGAAACAATTAGTAATCGCAATGCTTGTTGTGTAACGCTCACGTATGTGCATATTCCTAATGTAATGCAGCTTAATAACTCGAAATATTGAAATAATTCTTATATATTTATGTTTTTTCAACAATTTGTAAATATTCAATAATGTAACATTATTCGAATTACTCTTGAAAATCGAGGAATTGGTGGAATGTATCAGAAATGAAAAGTTTTTTTTTTTTAAATGGAAGAATTAAAAAATTATTCGAAAATTTAAAACTTGAATGATTGTGGAAAAAAATTTGAATTTCAAATTATGAAAAATGGAGTATGCACAAGGGAAAAGATACGTATAAGAAAAAAAAAATAAATGTTATAATGACTACCCAATTTGCAGAATATTCAATTGTAGTGATAAGATAAAGTCAGCATTTTTAAATGCTTCTTCTGAAAATAAATAATTTTCGAAATACCAAAGTAATATGATGTATAACAGAGTGAATAAAGATTTTTGTCATTGTTGTTGCTACATGATGTAGCTGAATTTTGCACACGTAATATTATAAATTTTTTCAAATCATCATTATTTCTCACAGAATAAAAAAAAAAGATATTAAATCTTTCCCTTTATTAAATTTTAGTATCCACTAATAGAATATTGTGATATTATAATTACATTGAAATAAACAAGCGTTGAAAATTTCTCTAATACAATTTATCATAAAAAATAAGAAACTTTCAATTCTTCGAAGACTTCTTAAAGAAGAAAGATTCAGTGAAATCGTATCAATTAAAACGAAATCTAAATTCTAAACACAAACAAGATTGAATTATTACCAATTCAATGGTAAAAGAAAACTTTCAAAAATTGAAAAATAGCAAAAAGTTTCGAAAATTTTTTTGAGCTTCTTTTTTTGAATTTTTGAAGTTAAATTGAATTTTCCTATATATTCCTAGAATTCTTTCCCTCGAATCTCGATATATTCGTCGTAGAAAGAAAGGGTTAAGCGTTCTTCCGCGTGTTATTTTCAACTTCGAAGCCCATTACATACGGCGAACGGATGAAGCAACATTGCCAGAGGTAGCGGTACGAGCTGCCAATTCTGAAAAACGTTTTGACCATGATCTTTCATGCTGTGCAAGCGGAATCGTTCCACCCACATTGAATTTAGAACATTGTAGATCACGAAGTTACAATACGCACGATGGCCGTAGCTTAGAGTAAATTAAATTAAATTGTTGTCCTTGTTATTTGGAATTCAAATTGTCAATAAATACACTTATTGTTATTTCATTTATTTGGAAGAGAATTAAAATTCGTGCCTTTTTTTTTCTTTTTGTTTTTGTTTTTTTGGGGGAGAGGAGGGGATATTTCAAATGATATAAAATAAGATTAAAGATTAAAAGATCTATGATGGATATTTATTGTTGTTACAGGTGAAATGGCGGTGATGTATCTTTACATGAGATACAGATATCATTGGAACGAAGTTATGTTCAGTATGTTTACCACGTTTGCCATGGTGACAAATTTAATCGGTAAGTTAGATAAATCTTTAAATCTTGTATGATCGACAATTATTTTGATAATTATCTATTGTTATATAATTATCCATTGTTTACACGAATAAATAGTAGTCGAAGAATTGTTTCATGGACAATTTTCGTAATAACAATTCCTTTTTATATTAGTATCGAAATTAAACGTAATTATTTATAAAGGATGCAGGAACATGTTTTAGGATTAAAAAAAAAAAAAACGTGAAAAAATAGAGAAGTACGAGAGCATAAAATTTTACATGGAGATTGTATTTTATTGTTATCTATAATTATACATCAGAATGCAATCTCATGTACAAAGTGCATAACCGTGAACTTGTTTTTTATAAAGACGAAACTTTTCCTGTTAAAAATTAAATTGAATGCTCATTTTTTTTATTTTTAAAAAGATATATTTTTTTAAAAGTATAAAAGTATTTTCTGAGTAACAATTTTCAAATAAAATTTTCTCATTAAATTCTTTCGTTCCTCATTTTTATTGAGAGTAGAGAAGATTTTAAAATAGACATGCAATAAGTTTGTCTATTGTTGTTTCTAATAAATTTTTTTTTTTCAAAAAATTTTGCTGCTCATTTTTTTTTTATTTACTTCATTCACAAAAGGAACAATGAATTATAGAATAAATTATATAATGAAATTGTTGTTGCCAAGCGGAATTGTCGGCAATCATTTTCCAGAAAATGATAGAGAAAACCCATAATTACAAGGCCGCGTTTATTGAACAAAGCCATTGATCTCGTAATCGTAAAGAAACCTTGAAAGAAACAAAAAGATACAAAAATTGCTAAGAAAGTATTCGAATCAAGTAAAATTGTTACTAATTGTCTCAGCAGAAATTTTTTTTAATAGAGATGAGTTTGATTTGGGCATTTTTTTGTTTAATATAAGAATATTTATTAAATCTTATTTGACAATATATTATTATTAAATTTATGATTTATTTATTAAATGTTTGATTATTTCAAATAATAAAAAAAACGATTTTATCACCATGAAAATTAACAAATAATAAAATTTAACATAAATTTAACATAAAAATTAACATAAGATATGTAAATACACAAATTAAGTATAGAATAATAAGTATAGAAAAATAACAGATATCAAGATAATTTAAATTCAAAATATATTACTATTTAAATAATATTTAAATAATAATTTCTAATCCTTGAACTTTGATTCCTCTTCAATATATATATATATATATATATTATATATTATCTAATTGTTATAATTATATATAATATAATATAATTATATAACATTTCAAAAGTGCAATATATTTATATTTATAGGAACTGCAATATCCGTTGGTGTGTTCAGTCATATTTTAAAAATCGATGATGCCATTGTTGGAATAATGAGTTCCATGAGTAAAATTTTAGCTGGCTTCGTTTACGCGTTTGCCATAACAGACTGGATGATCTATTTAGGTAAATGTTCATAAAAATTGAATTAACAATCAATAAATATCTATGTATTAACTTAGCATGGATTATTTTAAACGCACAATATCTCTAGAAATATTTTCATTTTTATAAATATACGATGTATAACGTAAAACAGAAACAAAATTGAAAAGAATGGTTGATGAGATAAAAAGAAAAAAAAATTCATTTGTTTTTTTTTGCCTCGTTTCAGCGGCTATCGTCGAGATAGTAAACGGTACATCTTTTATAGCAATGCGATCGATAGCATCAAAACTTGTATCGACTGGAGAACTCGGTAAGTGAATGTAAATTTATCCAATCTTTTTTTTTTTTTTTTTTTTTTTTTTTTTTTTTTTTTTATTCAAAGAACATATAACAAATACCGTTACGTGAACCTGATTGCAATATAAGGATACACACAGTATACACAAACGTAATTAATAAAATATTTAAGCTCGATTTACATAACGTAATTGCACGTATATTTAACATTAAATTATACACATAACGGAATAATGCTATTATAGATGCGATTAAAAACATAAATTTAGAATTATAATAAAATTATGTAATGAAATATAAATAAATTCCACTGATTTGAATGAAAAAACGAAATTATAAATGATATTACATAGTAAATCATTCATAATTTCGTTTTTAATAAAAATCGTATTCTTTAATTCTCGAATCGTTGATTGATCAAATTGGATTACTTTTGACTCGTGTCTAAATTTCTAAATATCATCAGAAATATGTCTCAAAAGTGATACAATTCGGTTCGACGTTCATTTTTCAATTTTCTATGAATTGTAATATTTATTAGTTCTTTTAACTAATAATTTTTTTTTTAAATAAAATAAAAAATAAAGTAATTAAATTAATACGATTTTATCATGATTTTATCATGATTTTATTATGAAATAAATAATGATACTAAGGTTTGAATTAAATAACGAAAGGATTATCTTAATATTTCTATATAGAATATATAATTAAACAACTATTTTCTAAGATTCTCTAAAGAAATAAATGTTTTGTGAACTATAGATTGAGAATCACTGTTTTAAAGTATTCTATGCAACATGCGCGAGTGCATATGTACTTGATAAAATTTTATAAAACGAAGCTTCTTATAAAATGTTATCATTCTACATTTTTAACTCTACGATAGATATATCTTGCATATAATTACGATCGAGTAATTACACGAAGAACAGAAATTAAAAACTAAATTGGTCAAATGTGATATACAATCTTTGCTCTAATCGTTTATTTTTGTATATTTTTTCAGAAATTTTTTGCAGATAAGATAATCTTTCATTATTTGTATTGTTCGTGTCAAATTGACAATAATTATTTCCCATCCAATTTTCCACAAAGTTCTCTTTCGCTTCACAAAAAATATTTTCCTATTGCTTGTTTATTTAAAAATATTTTTACAATCATTTTTTTCATTTTTTTATTTTATTTCTCTTGATACTTCACTTGATACTGTTGATACGTTATTTGATTTTACATAATGAGAGATATGATATTCAATATGACGGAAAATAATATAAATTAAGAACAATGAAATTTTATTATTTTTCATTGATTTACACAGGAAAAGTGAATTCGTTGCTTGGCGTCTGCGAATCTCTGATGCCACTCATCTACGGGCCAATGTACAGTTCCATTTATGCTGCAACCATGAAAACATTTCCAGGAACGTTCTTTATTGTTGGCGCCTGTATGACCATGCCAGCAGTCGCCGCGTTCTTGTAAGTCTTTCCGGTTGCGATGCGCCACTCGAGGCAATAGTCTCATAGCCATCGTTTCAATATTTTTTATTATTTCTATCGAATATAGCCTGGTGAGCTTTTTTCTTTTATTCATTGGAATAAATTAATATTAAAGTAACTTTATAGAGCATAAAAAAAAATTATTGAAAAAGAAAGATATAAAACTTACAAAAAGTATTTACACGTATTTTTATTTTCGATTAATACTTCTTTTTGTCAATTTCAGTATTATTTTAATATTATTTTCATAATATTAAAATTTTTGGCATATAAAATTACTATTAAATAATAAAAAATATAATATTTGCAAAATGTTTAAACAATATCAATTAATTAATATATAAATTCTATAGTAAATAAAATGATATGTAAATACTTTTTATGGTTACTATTTTATGTTTGATCTTTTTTTATTGGGTAGTAAGTGATTTACAAGAATTTGGGTTAAATTACTTGATAATTTTAGAGTATTTACACTTTAATTTTTATTCTATATTTTATATAATAAGAATGTTCAATATATGTAAGTATATAAAATATACTAAATATATAAATATACTAAGTATATAAAATAATCTAAAAAAATAAATACAGAATATAATAAAGAATATAATAATAAAAAAATAACTATAGAATATTAAAATTTATAAATTAAATTATATATATATTCAAATTTAATTATCATTTATTATCTATCAACCAACGAAATTAATAAAGAATAAATAAATAAATAATTTTTCAATAATTTTCTTTTTTATTAATTCAATGCTGTTTACTAATTATTTATATTTTTTTTTTATGAATAGTTGGCTGTACACCGAGCATAAAAAAGATCGTCAATTACTGGAGGAAGAGAAAAAAGTGAAGAGCAAGGAAGAGGAGAACGATTCGAAGATTGCAAAATGGCAAGTTGTTAGCGAGAAAAAACCGGAAGTTCCTACGATGAACGGCATTGCGAACGCAGCTTTCGAATCAGATCATTTATAACGAATAATTTATTATTACAAAATATGTAATAATATTCGATCATAATTATATAGAAAAACTTGAAAGAATGAGCAAAGAAGTGGAAGAGTCACATCTTGTAAAAAGTAAATTATATCGAGAGGAATAGCTTCTTAATAAATTTTTCATTTAACGTACAAAATATAAGTATGAGAAGAAAAAAAATAATTAGAAATATAATCGTGCACTGTATACGTGTTTACATGGTACACGAATGTCTTAAAGATGTCCATTTTACAATCATTTTATATTTGAAATATCTTAAAAATGATCTAATTTAAACGTCTTAAAAATGTCTGATATAAAATATTATGAAAGCATTATGAATCTCGAAAGATTAAAGATTTGTAAATAATTATTTTTGTAAATTAATAACGATGATTTTAGGATTGGAAATTTGTTTTTTTTAAAAAGATTTTTTAAAAAAATTTTTAGGACAACACATTATACAGACATTTTAAAGACGTATCTGTCTGGAAAAGACCAAAGAAGGAAAGATAAATTAAAATCTTAATAATAAATAATGTCACCCACTTACTCAGCTTGGAAAATATACTTTAAATAAAGGATAACTTTATTTATTCGATTTATAATAAATAATAAAACAAATAGGTTGATTATGTAATATTTTAAATTAATTTTAAATTAATTTTACTCGAAAATAGCTATCCTTTATTTCAAGTTCTAGTACAAACAGTCTCCGGTACTTAATAAATAAATGGTAACAATAGACAATGTGGAACAGGTTTATATCTGTTCAAGCGTATCAGTATTACAAATGCTACTTGCGTATATTATTTCCAAACTATTGATGTTAATGCGATGAAGAAAATGAGAATACGTGATGAGAGAAATTCAAAAATAAAAAATTATATGCTTATAAGATATAATATATATATCATTTCTGAATGACCGAGACGTGAATTTCATCTTGTGTTCGACATTCTTAAATTGATGTAAGTCTCATATTAACAGGAGAAGAAGATAATAAAATA